CCCGCGTCCCCTGCATCGGCAGGCGGACTCTCAACCACTGCGCCACCAGGGAAGCCCCATTTATATAATATTTTTAAAATAAAATTATAGAGATGGAGAACAGAGCAGTGGCTGCCAGGGGGTAGGGATGGGGAAGAGGTGAGAGGTGGATGTGGTTATGAGGAGACAGCATGAAGGAACCTTGTGGTTATGGAAATGTTCTATATATCTTTTAATTTTTATTGGAGTATAGTTGATTTACAATGTTGTTAGTTTGTTTTTTTAAAATAAGTTTATCTGCTACATTGTTCTTTTATAAAAATATTTATTTTCTTTATTTTTTGACTGCGTCGGGTCTTAGTTGCTGCACATGGGATCTTTCATTGCGGTGCGGGCTCTTCATCGCGGTGTGCAGGCTTCTCTCTAGTTGTGGCGTGCAGGCTCCAGGGCGCATGGGCTCTGTAGTTTGCGGCACGCGGGCTCTCTCGTTGAGGCATGCGAGCTCAGTAGTTGTGGCGCACGCGCTTAGTTGCCCTGCAGCATGTGTGATCCTAGTTCCCCGACCAGGGATCAAACCCGCATCCCCTGCATTGGAAGGCGGATTCTTAACCACTGGATCACCAGGGAAGTCCCTACAATGTTGTGTTAGTTTCTGCTGTAAAGTGAATCAGTTATACATATACATATATCCACTCTTTTTAAGATTCTTTTCCCATATAGGTCATTACAGCGTATTGAGTAGACTTCCCCGTGCTATATACAGTAGGCCTTAATTAGTTACCTATTTTATAATATAGTATAGTGTGTATATGTCTCAATCTCCCAGTTATCCCTCCACCTCACAATGTTCTATACCTTGATCGTGAATCTACACATGACAAAATTGCATAGAACTACACACACACACGAAATGGTGGAATCTGAATAAGCCCTGTGGATTGTACCAATGTCATTTTCCTGGCTTTGGTATTATACTAGTTATTCAAGATGCTACCAATGAAGGAACTGGGTGAAGGGTACATGGGACCTCCCTGAACATTTTTTTTTTTTTTTGGCAACATCCTCAATCTATAATTACCTCAAAAAAACCTTTAAAAAGTCTATCAGATGCATAACAACATATTTACAGATTACATGACATAGCTCTTAGATTTGTTTTAAAATATACTCTAGGAATAAAAAATAAAAGAAAAAAAGCAGAAGAAATAGATGAAACAGAAAAGATGTTGATAGGTGTTGAAGTTGGGTGAAGAATACATAGGGAAAGTATATATACTTTCCTCCCTAGTTTTGTGTTTGCAGACTTCCCAAATAAAAAAAGTTTTAGACAGTTGAAAAGGGTACTCTGTCCAACATAAGGGCTAAGCCTTACTTATTGGTATACAGCTTTGCTCACTGCTATAACATTTGCATACAAATTAAGTTCAAAGCTTATAATTTTGTTTCATTTACAAAGTTTTTATTATGACCTTTTATTAAGAGCTCATAAATCACATGCTTAATCTGGTTCTGTTGACTACTTTTTCCCTCCATGATTCCCCCAAAGTTATAAAAAATAAAAACTTATAAATATCCATTGAGGATTATGCACAGTTTTTACACGATAGTCAGGTCAATGTTTCAGGTTGTCCGACCATCTCCCAGTGTCTCATGCAGAACAGAATTACAGCAGCAAGGCCTCTGAAATCTCAACAGCAGAAAGGGAAATTCTTTTCCAAATCCCACCTCGTCCCTTAGTGTTACAGCACTCAACAGGTGCTTGTTTGGGACAGTAGCAGGAGGAATTGCTGGGATGACTGCTCCCGGGAGTGTGTGAGAACAGCAAGCCGGGAAAGTTTCAGCCCTGCACGTGCCATGGCTCAAACCTGGAACTATATTTAAACTCAACAGGCCAAGAATCACCAAGAGCCAAAGGACAAGCTCAGAGGGGGTCAGCAGAGGCCCGATCTGACTACTTTTAACTGGAAGGATTTCAGGTCACTACAAACCGGAAAAACTCTTATTTGGTGCAGAGCTGGGGAATCCGATTTTCTCACTCAGTATCCTCTCTTCAGGTGCTGACAAGCAGCACTTTCCTTCCAGCCAGTGGGATGAAATGCTTAGAGAACAGTGATGCCAGAGGAGCATGGAGCCTGCTGTCAAGTCACCAGGTTTTTCGAGTTTTCAAATTCACCAAGAGGACGGAAGGTTAAGAGATGACTGTGGAAGCCGAGTATCAGAAGAGCTCAGTATGGACCTTAGGACACTAAGCCAGGATTCTCCTCCTTTATCCTGTGTTAACCTCCAGGTGTTACTGGCATTTCTCTTCCTCTAACTTGGTTTTAAAACCTCTTCCTTTGGAGAACAGTCAAAAGGTATCAGCTTGCCCAGCATCTTTCTTTTTTGGTTTGTAGGGCACATCAAGGATAAAGAGGCAAAGAGGCTGGACAGATTCAGACCTGCAGGCTCTTCTTGGCCCACTTCTGCCATAAGGTGGGCACACGGCCTTCCATCCACGCCAACTTCCAGCAGACCGAACAGGTTTCTCAGCTTTCAGAACATGAGGCTAAGCCCGGCCTTCAAAATCTCATCCCCGCCACCTCCCACCCCCCAGCAAATCCTTTTCTTACTGCATAAAACCAGTGATTCCTCCATCAAATCACAGCGTAATATATCCACTGATGTAGGCTCTTGTCAAAGAAAATCTCTTTTCCCAGGATGGGGCAGAACTTGGTTGTTCCCAAGCACACGCTCCACAGAGGGACAGTAAATGATAAACCCCTCAGGAGAGGGTGCTGCCCTGCTTTAGGGAGCTTTCGTCAGATGCTGATGAGAGTCAGTACTGCCTTTCATTCTACTCCACACGCATCTGCTTAGGCCTCCTGACTCCTGCCGGCCCCAGATTGAGGCTGCGATGGGTGGGACTCCTGTTTCCAACATGTTAAAGGAGGGAAAGTCACCTTCGATCAGCTCTACAGGGCACGTGGAGCCCAGGTGAGGTGAGAAGTAAGGAGGTTCTAGGATGATAAAATAGGTGCGACAAATTGTCAGTCAATAAAAGGGGTCAAGATATCCTGAAATACAAACTAAGCAAAGTCTTTCTGGCAGTGAGCAAAGCAGGCAAAGAGTCCTTTCTTTCCTGCCACTTTCCCTGGTCTCCCAGGTTTCAAGGAATCAAGTTCCATGATTATAAACGAAGTCACTGGCTGCTCCTGTGCCCCACGGTATGGCCCGGTTGATTTAAAAAGCCTCATTGTTACCATCGTATCTTCGTCAACCCAAACATCCAGTGAAAACAAGTAATCTTAATAGAGAGCTTGCTATTAAAATCATGCCCGGTCACACCCTAGAGCCTCGGCCTGTCCCCGAGGTGGCCACCCTCTTCTTCCCTTGAGTGGCTTTAACTCCCCCAGGAGGGTGGCATCTGCGTCTCTCTACAAGGCAGGCTTCCTTCTCAGCTCATGAGAGGGACCTAGAAAGAAGAGGAATCCATGGAGCCCGCCTGGTGGGGGCCCCAGCTGCTCTCCTTCTTGCGGGGGAACAACTGCTGGGCTGTGAGGGTTGGTCCCTGGGCTGCAGGATGCTCAACCTCCATGCAACAAAAGGTACATGCGGGAGATGAGGACGGAGAGGAAAGGGGAAAATATTCCCCTCTCACCAGAGTAGCTCCTCCCCAAGGTTCAGAACCACCGGTGAGCCTCTCTTTTCTGCCAAGGAGCAGAGAAGACCACCTCGGTTGGCCAGGGAGGCCTCTCTGCACCCTGGCCTCCAACTCACTTCTTCCTGCGGATCTTGGGTTTCTTCACAGGCCGCAGATAGGGGTTATCGATGATATTCTCCTCCCCGTTCCGGCTCCCCGACAAGGAAGGGTTCTGCTGCAGGACAGAGGTGTTCTCCTTCTCGGCTCCAGAATCATCCTTTGAGCAAAAGCCGAAATAAAGCAAAATACCAAATGGCATAAGGAAAGAGATCATGCCCACGGTAAGAACTACTGTTAGCATCCCTTTCATTGAGAAATTAGAAGCCCAAGCACCACCTTTTGGCTAATGTGCCTCTCTCTGCCCCAGACGAAAGGAGGCCAGGCAGCGGCTGCTATCAGAGGAAGGCGAGAGCACCAGCTTTGACACGGTGGAGCACAGAACACCAGACCCTGAACCTCTTCAGAGGCAGGGACAGGACTTACAAGGAACAGAGAACTGGGAGGGGCAGAGTCAGGGGCTACAATTTAGACGCCTCAGGGAGGAAGCCCAGCCGGTGCGGAGTCAAAGAAAAAGAGAAGTGGCTCCCGATGCCCTGCAGGACTGAGAGGTGGAGGACTGAAACAAATCACGTGCACAGGGCACCCCCTGGACCAAAGCTCATGTAAATCATAATCGATTTTCCCGCAAATTCTCAAATATCTGGTACTTGCAACATGGTACAAATGATCATATCCCAGCAGAGGCCAGAAACTGCTCAAGCCCTGAGAGCTCCCATGAGGGCAAAGCAGCACATGCAGGCACCAACACAGGAACATCATCCCAAATCTCCATCTGCAGCCCCTGGATCAGGCCTTTTGCTGTTCGTTTTTTGAGGAAAGTGATTTTGGAGAAAAGCTTATAAGTTTGAATATATTCAATATGATCTCAGTTAAAGACTTTTTAAAAATCACAATGGGATGTAGACACAGAAAACAGTAATATGTTGAAGTTTTACAAACGGCTTCTGGAAATATGGGTGATGGATTCTCCTTTCCTTTTTTACACTCTCTTCTATTTTCCAAGTTCTTTAAAATGAGCAGAAGCTGCAGGCGAAGGGGATAAAAATCACACGAAGCAGCTCAGGCCCAAGGGGCTATAAGGGACCAGGAGCAGCTGGCTGGGCTGCGCCCCCTGGTGACAGACCAGTGGTTCTGTCACTGGGATTCCCGTTCTGTAACTTGAGGCAAAAGAGGACTTGACCTCAACCAGGAGATTATGCTGTCAGAAGACAGCGGGACAGTGGACAGATGGCAGGTTCTCCCATAGGGACCACTGGCCTAGGACGGCGGCACCAGTCTGGGCTCAATGAGACTGAAGAAAGCAATGACTTTGCGGTTCGGCTGCGTGCCCTCTCACTGCCCATCAGCCCTGTTCTCCCCAGAGACCCAGTTCATCCAGGGCCCCTGTGCTTTCCCTCTCCAACACCCAGTCCGGTGGCACTAGAGTCACTGTGGACCTCCTGGAGGCTCTCTTGAAAGCGAGTACCCCAAGATCAGCCTGGCTGGCTCGTGCCAGACTAGGTGCCGGACACAACGTCTGACCACACCCAGACCTGCCTTGGATACTAGGCTCTGACCTTTCTGAAGTTCTTAACGGCTTGGTTTAGTAGCTCACCCCTACCTCCCTCCTCTCATCTCTCTACAGGAAACGCCCAACCTTCAAAGTTACTGGAAGTTCAACTGTGCCTTAAGTGCTTCCTGAGATGATTAGGGTGGAGGGGACCCAGTCAGGGGTGCCCTGGGATCACTGCTGGAGGCCCCCCCCCCCTCAGCTGGCTATGCCTCATGAGGCCGGGACTTGGGGCACGAGTCATGGGACAACAGGCTTCTCTACTCCCAAGGAGAGCTTCTGGAAATGCCACTTTCTTTGCTGTCTTTGGGGACCGGCAGCCTTGAGATGGGGAGGGACAGGAGGAGTAGATAAAAGAAGTAAAGTACTAAAACGACTGAGATGTGTAAAAAAAGGTGGGAGTAGAAAGGTCTGTCAGGAGCGACCCGGGCCGGAAAAGGCCAGACTCAGGGCACGCTCCTCGTGCACCGCCCTCATGCACCCCATGCGCCCTGGGTGACTGCATCCAGCCTCACGCTCCTCGTGCACCGCCCTCATGCACCCCATGCGCCCTGGGTGACTGCATCCAGCCTCACGCTGCTCGTGCACCCCCCTCATGCACCCCATGCGTCCTGGGTGACTGCATCCAGCCTCACGCTCCTCGTGCACCCCGCTCATGCACCCCATGCGCCCTGGGTGACTGCATCCAGCCTCACGCTCCTCGTGCACCGCCCTCATGCACCCCATGCGCCCTGGGTGACTGCATCCAGCCTCACGCTCCTCGTGCACCGCCCTCATGCACCCCATGCGCCCTGGGTGACTGCATCCAGCCTCACGCTCCTCGTGCACCGCCCTCATGCACCCCATGCGCCCTGGGTGACTGCATCCAGCCTCACAGCTTCTACCACCACTTCCACGGCAGCATCCACCACCTGAACCTCCCCAGCCCTCACATCTCCCTTGACCTCCAGGCCTGCACAGCCACTGTCGCTCAACCACTTGCCATCTCCACGTGGCGGTCAAGCAGGCATCTCAAATTCAACGTGCCTAAAACTAAACCACGAGCACAAACAGCTTCTCCCACTGTCTTCCTGTCCTGTCCTCCCAGCTGTCCAAGCCCAAAACTCTGCAGTCACTCCTGCTTGCTTGCTTTCTCTGGCATCCCACAGCCAATCTGTTGGGAAAACTTCTTGGCCTTATCTTCCAAATACAGACAGAATCTGACCACTTCCACTATCTCTACTGTGACCCCCCGGTAGGACCTACCAGTGTCTCTTACCCGGATGGACAACAGCCTTCCCGCCACAGTCCCTCCTCTGCCTGTCCCATTCTCACCAGCGCAGCCAGTGCTCCTTGGAGAAGTTCAGACCTGCCTCTCCTCTGCTCCACACCCTCCCAGGACTCCCACTTCATCCAATGAAAAGACAGTTCTTAAAACTGCTCACAAGGCCTCACCTGATCTGACCTCTCCCTCCCCTCCCCCGGCCCCACCTTCCTCAGTCACACCTCTACTCTCCTTTGTGCTATTCCCCAGGGCCTTTGCACTGGCTGCTCCCTTTCCAGGACACTCTTCCCCAGTTATCCACATGGCTCACTCCCTCACCTCCTTCAAGACTCTGCTCAGACGTCACCTTCTCTGTGATGTGTACCCTGAGCACCCTATTTAAAACTGAAACCTCCACCCTTTACCCTGGATCCTCCCCTACTCAGTTTTCCCCCCGCAGCACTTTCATCTTTTACACGCTATACAGTGATGTATTTACGTATTACGTCTATGGTCATTCCCCCACTGCCAACACACAGGCTCCCGAGATGCAGCTGTTGTCTTTGTTCTGGTCACTGATGTGTCCCAAGCACTGAGAACAGTATCTGGCACTTACCAGGTACTAAACAAATACTTGTTGAGTACATGAATGGTACATTGTTCAGAAAAGAGTAAAAGTTGAGACACTGGGATTGCCTGCAGAAGGCAGCTAGTTGAAATGTATGAGAAAATAATCCTCTGATACACCAATTTAAAATGAATAGCCCTGGGACTTCCCTGGCGGTCCAGTGGTTAAGACTCCACGCTTCCACTGCCGGGGGCGCAGGTTTGATCCTTGCTCAGGGAACTAAGATCCCACATGCCGCACAGTGTGGCCAATATATAAATAAATAAATAAATAAATAAATAAATAAATAAATAAATAAATAAATAAAATGAATAGCCCCTTCATGTTCCTAGATGGAGTAACCAGAACCAGTTAAACAAAGTAACTACCTAGCAACAGTCCTTGACAGCTGTGACCTTGATAGATAAAAGAACAATTTAAAACACCAGTTATTGAACTTACCGTAACAATGTCTGTAAATGCTAAAGACAGAAAACAACCTAAACATCCACAGGGGACTGGCTCACTACATCCACACAGTGGAACAGGAGGAAGCTATGCGGAGGGACAAAGCAGCGCCTCACGTACAGCGGCAACGACCACCGAGATGTCGCCACAAAGAGAGCAAGCAAAGCGGAAAGAACTGTTTGTGTTTAAAAGAACAATTAAAAAACATCTCTAGAAGGATTCACAAGAGACTGGTGACACTGGTTGCTTTGCAGGAGGGAAAATGGATGACAGGGAATGAGGACGGGTGAAAGGCTGCCACCACACATCTTCTTGTACGTTCTGAGTCTTAACCATATGACTGCATTTGCCAGTCCAACGAAATAACAAGCCCAGCAGACTGTCATAAATTGTTGCTGGAATCCTTTTCTTGAAGTCTTTTTATTTATTTATTTTGTACAGAAGAGCATATGGTCATACAGCAGGGGGAGGGAGGCAGCGTGTACCATGAGCTGCCATGTGCCAGGCACCTGATATGGATGAGCTCATTTTATCTCAGGCTCCTCACTTCCCCTTGAGGTAGGTGTTCCTACTCCTATTTGCATTTGTGAGGAAACAGACTCAGATGCTGGGTCATGAGCTGGAAAGCACCCTGGTCTGGGTCTGAGGCTCAGATCTTTCTACTGTTTCCTGTCTGGCTTGGCCTCTGGGTATCCAGGAGTCCTCAGGCAGTTCCTGGCACCCTTTCAGCCTCGGTTCACTCACCGCCATGACCTCACCTATGTCATTACATTACCCGGAGTTTTAGATAACACATCTGCAAGCCCTTTTTAGCTGCTTTGTACTTATAAAGGGATGGTGATGTTTGTTTAGAAGACTCCGCCTTCTCATAAGGTGAACCTCATCTTAGTCCGTGCCACAATCACCGTATCTCAGACCAAATTAACTGAGTCCAAAATAGAAGTGTAGGATAACAAAGCTCCTCTGCTCTATGTAGAGCCATGGGCTCCCAGCCCTAATTCTGAAAGGAATAATTCAACATTAAAGAAACGTGTGTTCAGGCAAGGGAGACCTTCAGCAAATACTAGAGTCAGCACTGGCACTCTCCACCTGCATCCTGGGGCCTCACACCTCAGAGAACACGAGGAACCCTCAGTCCAGCTACAACCACTGAGCCATCCCTTGCTTAAAAGCCAGGGCCAACCTTAAAGGATGGATGAATGTGGTAACCTGACTCTTAGGGTCCTGTAAGCTTTAAAGGCATTAGAGCTTCAGCAGGTCTGTGACTCTACTTGGCACTTTCTCCCCTGATGCATGAACAAGAGTGGGTCTTACCCTCTTACTTGCCGAGTACAATACAGCGTAACCAGAAAAGAACACCCACCAGTTTCAACGAGCACACCTCCCCCACCCCCCCGACCTTTGTCTCTGTGCCCACACATTTTATCTCCTATCCTGGCTCTGAAATGTCCACAATAAAGGCTAACCCCTCCTTTTGGGCACTAAATCCCATGCCCTCTCCCTTACCAAAGATCATCATTCCAAAATGTTTCTTTTCTCCTGCATCAACTTTACCAGATCATTTTCATCAGCATACAAACATCCTGTTATTTCTTTTATTTTAAAAAACAAATAAGGGACATCCCTGGCGGTCCGGTGGTGAGGACTCCCCGTTTCCACCGTGGGGGGTCCACATTTGATCCCTGGTTGGGGAACTAAGATCCCTCAAGCTGCAAGGTGCGGCTAAAAAAATCAATACATAAAATTTAAAAATAAAAATAAAAAACAAAACACCTCTCTGACCTCCTTAATTCTTCCCCTTTAGTTACCTCTCCATTTTCTCTCCTTCCCTTCACAGCAAAATTCCTTGAAACCATGGTCTACATTAATGGAACTTTCTGTGATTATTTAACTGTTCATATCTGCGCTGCCCAGTAGGGTAGCCACGAGCCACAGGTGGCCACTGAAATGTGGCTGGTGTGACCAAGGAACTGAATTTTTTTGTTTTATTTAATTTACATCAATTTAGACTTAAATAGCCACATGTGGCTACGGGTCACTGTAACGGACAACACAAGTCCATACTCACCGACTCCAGTTCCTCTCTTCTCTTTCTCTTTGAATTCACTTGCTCTCATTCTTCCTGAAATTGCCATTGTCAAGGTCACAAACTGCATGCCCGTTGCCAAATCTAATGGGCAACATCTCAGTCCTCACATGACTGGAACTAACTGCAGCTTCAGACACAGCTGATCACTCTCTTCTCCCTGAAACGCTTTCTTCCCTTGGCCTCCGGGACGCCGCAGCCCCCCCGCCCCCCGCCCCACACACCCCCTCCCCGGTTCCACCACCTTTCCCGCTGTGCCTTCTCCATCTTCTTGGCCAGTTCCTCATCTCCTCAACCTCTGAACAGCACAGAGCCCCAGGGCTCAGTCCTGGCACCTCTTCTCTATTTTATCCTCACTCGCCCCCTAGGCACTCACCTGGTCTCGCGGTTTAAACACTATCTACACGCCGAGGACTCCCAGGTTTGCATCTCCTGAGCCCAAAAGCTCCTTGAACTCCAATGCGCCTATCCACCTTCCTACCTGACCCCACCACCCGTGTGTCTAATAAGCATCTCAAACTTATCTCGTGTAAACCTCTACTCCTGGCTTCCCCCCTACACCTGTTCCACCCAACCTTCTCGCCTGTCTTGGCTGAGGGCACTTCCATCTTGTCTGCTGTTCAGGAAAAAACCCTTGCATTTATCTTTGACTCTCTTTCTCCCACATCCACTCCATCAGTCGCTTCTGCTCTGAAAATAATCTAGAATCTGACCAAATAATCTACCTGTGTCTTCACCTCTACCACCATCTCTCAGCTTCTTGCACCAGCCTCCCGACCGGTCTGCTTCTGCCCTCACCCACTGTAGTCCACCCTCAACCCAGCAACCTCACCGATCCTGAGACCCTCCTCTGCTCAGTATGTCCAGGGGCTCCCATCGTACTGACGAGAAGCCCAAGTGCTTAGGTACCGTTAAGACCTGACTTCCCCAGGAGCTCTCTGACCTCGTCCCCTGCTCTCCTCCCCGCTTTTGCTCATGCCACACTGGCCACACTGATGGCCTTGCCATTCCTCAGCGTAACAGCACCTACCTCAGGGCCTTTGCACCTGCCGTTCCCTCTGTGGGGAACGCTCTCCTCCCAGATACGTGCGAGCCTTGTTCCCTTCAGGTCTTTACGCACCTGTCACCTTCTCAGTCACCCAATCTAATACCACATCCCCCAGGCCCATACCTACTCCCATCTCCTAATTTCTCACTTTTCCTTAGCTCCATGAGGGCAGGACATTTTGTCTATTTTGCCTCCTGCTAATTCCCTAGCACCTGGCACCTGCCTGACTCTGGCAGGTGCTCATTCAATATTTGTTGAATGAATGAATGGATCCTAAGGACACAGACTTATCCCTCAAGCTAGAGATCGTGCCACAGTTGGATCACCGCAGGCCCATCATGCAAGTCCCTAACATGGGGCCAGAGACCTGGGGTAGGTCCTGTCCAATCCCCAGGGTGATAGGCAGAGAGCAGCACGGGCTACTGCGGGGGGCGTGCTGAAGCAGGCAGAAGGCAGGACCCACCGTGTTGATGTGAAGAGGGAGGTTCTCTGTGTCTGTCTGCTCATCCTGCTCCGAGGAATCCGTCTCAGAGCGGTCAGGTAGGGGATGGTGAAAGGCCTGGCAGCAATCACTGGGGGATTGGAAGAGAGGCTGAGAGCCTTATGACAGATCAGCGAGCAGCAGCGAGTGACAGTGATGGCTAACACGCTCGAGCACTTACCACAGGCCAGGCAGTGTCCTACAGGCTTTACATGTTATCTTTAATTCTCGCCTCCACCCTATTAAGTAAGTACAATTACCAACCCCATTTTACAGATGGGGAACCTGAGGCCCGGAGAGGTTACGTGACCTCCTCAAGCACACTGGAAGTGGTGGAGTGGGATTTGAACTCGGGCAATATGACTGCACAGCCTACTTTTACCAAAATCAGAGATTTTGGGGCTGAATCCTAGCAAAGCATCAGCTCAGTGATCTTATACCCAAGGTCAGTTAACCCCCCAGCCTCATTACTAGAGCAGGGATATGGATCCCTTCAACCTGAAGGACTCAAGTCTCGATAGCGGACTTGAGAACTCTCTGCATGGAAGTATATCCACTGAGCTAGAGGGCACTTCAGGTACATGAGTGACCCAATTCCTCCAAAAAGCACAGAGGCTGAGTAGGAGAAATTATTAAATAGTAAATAAATAAGTAAATAAGTAAATAAATAAGTAAATAAGTAAGTACATAAATAAATAAATAAATAATAAAAAGAAAGTCTCTGTGCATGCTTCCATGGTAGAATGTCATTATCAGGAGACACTCTAAGATTATTATTATTATTTTTTTTTTTTGCAGTACTCGGGCCTCTCACTGTTGTGGCCTCTCCCGTTGTGGAGCACAGGCTCCGGACGCGCAGGCTCAGCGGCCATGGCTCACGGGCCCAGCCGCTCCGCGGCATGTGGGATCTTCCCGGACCGGGGCACGAACCCGCGTCCCCTGCATCAGCAGGCGGGCTCTCAACCACTGCGCCACCAGGGAAGCCCTCTAAGATTATTTTTAACATGGCTCAGATATGGAGTCCTGCAAACAGAAAGAGCTAGGTTTGAATGCTATCTACTCTCCGTGTGATCTTGGGCAAATTACTTCATTTCTCTTCTCTCTAAGCCTTGCCTCCTGGAATGGTGGAAGTAACAGTTCCTAACTCAGAGGCTCACTCGAGGAGTTCATGAGATAACATAGGGAAAGTGAGCAGCACAGTGTCTGGAGTTAATAACTTAGCTGCTGTGGTTCCGGGGCAAGGCACACAGCGAGAATCCAACAGGAGCTTGCTGACTGAATGAATCATCTAAACCAATCTCCCTCACTCCCCTTTGGAAACACTGAGGCCTGTGGAGAGGAAGACACTTGGTCACACAGTGAAACGATAGTGCTGAGATGAGAAATTATATGGTGAGTCCTGTGAGAGGACGTAGTGAAGGCAAAGCCTGGCAGAGGTTCTTTAACTGCCCTGCCCCCTGACGCCAGGGTCCTTCTACCACCAGTGCTGCCCCTTCTGCTAAATGAGCCTATCTGATGCCTGGGGCTCAGTCACCCTCGAGGTAACCTCAACTCAGTGCACTTCAAGTGCCCAATCCCAACAGAAGCCATTACTGTTTTGGAGTCAGCAGTTAGGGACAGGCCCTTAAGACCTAGAGAAAGGAGCCAGAAATGAAGAGCAAGTTCCACCCAAGACAAGGACGAAGCTCATTCATTTTTTCCAATGACACTGAGAGGAGGGGAGATGGGGCGGTGATCTCAAAGGACAAGCCAGGGTCCACAGACGGGAGACACTCACAGGGAAACGTGCCGACGTCATCTTTGAAAAGACTCTGGGTCTCGCCGGTCTTGGCCATAAAACGGGTGAGTGCCCGCTCCACGTCTCGTCTCTGGGATGCGGCCTTCTCCCGCAGGACCTGATAGTCCGACACAGGCTCACGGTACGTCTAAAGGGAGAACAGCAAAGACACTAGAGAAATACCAATGACTACACTGCTCTCCTCGGGTTCCTGCCTTGCTGTTGCTCTGTCCTCCCACCCTTTAAATGACCCCTACCGTCATTGAGAGCAGAGATCCCCAAGGGCAGAGGAAGGGCAGAAAGAAACAACATAACTATGATTAACATTTACTTTGAATCTTAAAAGTTAAGAAAGTTAAGTTAAAAGTTAAGAAATATACAAACATTTACATTTAGGTGATTGATCCCGGGCCTTCATTTAGCTCCAGCAACAGCTGGACTCAGGCATGAGAGACACATCCTGAAGGGAGAGTGGCAATTCTCAGCCCCACACACCTGCCAGGGAAGCCCTGCCAGGGAAGCCCTGCCGGGGACCACCCAGGGTCCCTCAGTGTAACATGACAACAGAACTTTCTGACATGTTTAAACTCTTCCCAAGATGAAGAATTTAACAGGATTCTGAACATGCTGGTTAAAAACATTAAAATGCAAGATCTTACAATTATTTTTAAGACAACTGTTTGACATTTAAAAAGTTGGAAATTTAATAGGAAAATTTTAACGTAAGTCTTCAAATAATTGGTAGATGAGAATGAAAAAAATTAGTTTTATGATTTATTAAGGGCAGCCTAAGATCCCACCTATCTTTGTACTGTACCTTTTTCAACTATGAGAGCTGTTAAAGTATCAAAATAAACTGAACTTAGAACGAGACCTCCTACTTCGTATTCCACCAAGTATTAAACCAAGATTTCAAAAAATACAAAAGCTGAGGCTATAACGTGGCTGCCACTATAAAGGAGCACCAGTTTCCTGAACCTTTAATAAGGGTCAGATGATCTTTCAACGCACATTGTTTTAGTACTGTGTTACATTATAACATTCACGTAAATGAGCAAATACTGAAGCATGTGCTTAATACTGTACTGACAGACATATGCTACAAAAGAGTTAGAGGCTGCTGTGGGTGAATTATAGCCCCTAAAAAGACGTGTGGAAGGCCTAACCCCCAGGGCCCCAGAATATGATCTCATTTGGAAATAGGGTCACTGCAAGATGTAATCAGTTAACATGAGGTCATATGAGTAGGCTGGTAAGAATCCGATATGACTGGTGTCCTTATAAGAAATGGCCACGTGAAGACGGAGATACAGAGAGAGGGCTGTGTGAAGAGGAAGACTGGAGTGATGCGTCTACAAGCCAAGGGGTGCCACGAACTGCCTAGAAACTACCTGAGGCTGGGCAAAGGTTTCACAGGGAGCCTGCTGACACCTTGATTTTGGACTTCTAGCCTCTGGAACTACAAGATAATACATTTCTGTTGTTTTAAGGCACCGAGTTTGTGGCACTTGGTTACAGCAGCCCTAGGACACTAATACAGAAAACCCTGGTCAAGAGCAATGGCTGTGTTGCAGTGGTGGCTGACCACCTGCTCCTTTCCCCCCGTATCCTGAGGTGTGGAAAAATCTCCTGGAGGACTTGCCCCAACCCTGCATCGTGGCCATATTTGCACCAGGATGCAGTGTGGAGGCGGGGACACAGGAAGCGAGTAGAAGAGCCTCTGGGGACTCCTATGCACACTGTACCTTCCCAAAGGAAGGTGAAATTGCTAGAAGACAAACTGGAACATGGAGGACATGTTTGGAGGACATCTGAACTAAGGAGGACAACTAGACTTGTCCCATACAGACCCAGAGCTCACAGTTATGGTAAGTTCCATTTCATATTACCAAGTTTTATTTTTTGTTTTTTTTTGAGGGGCCACACCATGCAGCTTGTGGGATCTTAGTTCCCAGACCAGGGATTGAACCCAGGCCCTCAGCAGTGAAAGCACCGAGTCCTAACCACTGGACTGCTTGGGAATTCCCCCAAGTATGTTTTAAGTAACTCTTTCCCTGATTTCAAAAACAACTCTTACCTATTATGGAAAATTTGGAAAACCCAGAAAAGCACACACAAAACAACAGTTACCTATAATCCCACCAAGAATTACTACCAGCATTTTGTGGAATGTGTCTTTTCTCTACGTGGCTAGGTACTTCTGTGTTTGAGTGGGACAGGCAAAACGGTGCCACTTTCAGTTTATTTATTAACTATATTTTTGCCAGCAAACTGGAGAAGATAATTCTCCTTTGCCAAATTGTTTTCCAGTGAGGAAAGACATTCTGAGTTCTAAACTACCCTGTGACCAACAAACTTCTGGACTCCAGTCTGACAGCCAGTAAAATGGAGTCTGCTTTTGCATCAGTCACAGCCCCCAGGGTGGCCTTGTCACTCACCGGAGTTTTGATGTAGGTGTGGGGGTCAGGGAACTCGGGAAAATGGCTGGGGATGTGTGGCGGGTGGGGTCGGTTCTGTCCTGCAGTGAGGGCCTTGGGGGTCACCGGCTGATTGGTCACTGGAGCTGCAACAGAGTCACCGGCGGTTACTCTTCCACCCAAGGCCTTGCGTCTCTACCCACACCCTCCTTTTCTCAAAGTAAATCCTGGACCTCAATGTTCTATGCAACAGGCACTTTGTACTTCTACCAATAAAAGGCCTTTAATGGCCTGAGGACCTGAAAAGGTACCTCCGCCCCCCAACAACGCCCGGCATGGCATGACCTGGGGTGACATTCCCATCTACAACAATCTTGACTGCATGCCTCTTAGGTCGGTGAGTGGGGGGCTGAGACAAGCTAACTACATAAAGAGCAGGTTGAGGACCTAAGGAAGTTAGGTGGGCTGCTAACTCCTTTCAAGAACCCAGGTAACAAAGACAGCACTGAGCCAGGGTAAGTTAAGTGAGGGCCAATGAAAGCAAGAGGGGTTGAAAATGGCACTTTTCATTGCCACTTTGAGAGGAGCATTTTAAAACGATGTCAGCTGGACTTCCCTGGTGGTACAGTGGTTAAGAATCCACCTGCCAATGCAGGGGATGCAGGTTCTATCCCTGGTCCGGGAAGATCCCACATGCTGCGGAGCAACTAAGCCCAGGCACCACAACTACTGAGCCTGCGCTCTAGAGCCCGCGAGCCACAACGACTGAGCCTGTGTTGTGCTGCAACTATTGAAGCCCGCGCGCGCGTAGAACCCGTGCTCCGCAGCAAGAGAAGCCACCGCAGTGAGAAGCCCGTGCACCACAACGAAGAGTAGCCCCTGCTCGCTGCAACTAAAGAAAGCCCGTGCACAGTAACAAAGCCCCAACACAGCCAAAAAAGAAAAGATGCCAGCCTGAAAGGAGTGATGGAAAAAAAAATCTAGTGAATTCTCCTGAGGTCCTGCAAACCCAAACTAGTTAACTCCAATCAACTCAGTTTGTGGCACTCAGTGTATCTAAGGCAGAGATCATCAGACTTTTTGTATAAAGGGACAGGAAGTAAATATTTTAGGTTTTGCAAGCTGTGCAGCCTGTCACAACTACTTAACTCTGCCATTATTGCATGAAAACAACCATAGATAATAAGTAAACATGGCTGTGTACCAACAAAAGTTTATTTACAAAACAGGAGGTGGACCACCTGTTTACTGACCCCTGATCTAAGGAAGAACAAGCACTCTCACATGTTTCAAGGAGCATCGAGATGGTTTACCTTTCTGGTGACTGAACTTCACATCCTAATCTGACTAGCCCAAATAACGAATACATATTAGGTAGCCCCAAATAATGGAAGGGAGCCTGCAACGAGGCAGTAGCTACACACCAATCCCTGCCCTAGTCAACCAATTCATTCCACCATTAACTGAGCACTCCTGAGTACCTCAGTTCAGAGTCACTTACGGGCAGTGATGACCATCCTCTGAGACCGTTTTGCATAAGCAGGGAGAGTGTCCACATTGAAACCTAAGAAACAGGGGAACAAAAATCACTGCTCAGACCACTGGATACTGAACATGGAAGGGGAAGTAATACTGTGGTGAAACAGTTTAAACTGCCAACTCAAGAGCTTTGCTGCCACTCAAAAGAAACTCCAGCAGAATCCCCGAAGAGGGAGTTAGGAGGCCTCTTAAAGGGGTTCAGAGGAACCCTCTTTCAATAACTCTCTTAAGCTAAAAGCAAACCAGGAGACTCATGAGGGGATTTAAGAACGCTCAGCAGAGGGGGCTGCCTCCTGGGGACTCCTCTCTCTCTCACACCTCCAACTCAGCTGCACTGAAGAAATGGAAACTGGAGGTGTACTCACCCATCTCGACAAGTGTGACCACAATATCTGACAGTGTGGGCTGTGTCCTGGCTGTGTGCTCACAGTAAGACTTGGCACTCCTCCCAATTTCTGAAATGTCTAGGAAAGGATCAAAGGCAGAAAGTCTTACTCTCAGTTCCCAAACAGTTAAACACCGAATTGCCATATGAGCCAGCAATTCCACTCCCAGGTATCCACCCAAGTGAAGGGAAAACAGGGACTCAAACAGAGTGCATGATGCTCATAGCAGCACTACTTGTGCATCCATGTTCATAGCAGCACTATTCACAGTAGACAAAAGGTAGAAATAACCCAGTGTCCATCCACAGATGAATGGATACATAAAATGTGGTCTATATCCATATAATGGAATATTATTCAGCCTTCAAAAGGAATGACATTCTGATATAAGCTACAACATGAATAAACGTTGAAAACATCATGCTAATGAAATAAGCCAGACAGTCAAATATTTTAAGATTCCACTTATATGAGGTATCTAGAAAAAAAAAATTCAGGCCTTCCCTGGTGGTGCAGTGGTTGACAATCTGCCTGCCAATGCAGGGGACACGGGTTCGAGCCCTGGTCTGGGAAGATCCCACATGCCGCGGAGCAACTGGGCCCGTGAGCCACAACTACTGAGCCTGCGCATCTGGAGCCTGTGCTCCGCAACAGGAGAGGCCACGACGGTGAGAGCCCCACGCACCGCGATGAAGAGCGGCCCCCGCTCGCTGCAACTAGAGAAAGCCCTCGCACAGAAACAAAGACCCAACGCAGCCAAATAAATAAAATTTATTTAAAAAAAAATTCATAGAGACAAAAAAATTGATTAGGGGTTACCAGGAGTTGGGAGGAACGAGGAATGGGGAGTTACTGTTTATGGATACGGTTTCTGTTTAGAATGATGAAAAAGTTCTGGAAATAGATAATGCTGATGGTTGTACAACACTGTGAGTATATTTAACACTACTGAATTGTACACTGAAAAATAATTAAAATGGTAATTTTATGATATGTACATTGTGCCACCAAAAAAAAAAGTCTTATTATCTGGTTGTCAAGTTTTTGTTTCTTCTACCTGAAGCTGAACCTCTTTTCAGCCATGCTAAACTCCTTCAGGGGAAAGGGGAAGCATGAGGCTGGGCTCCATGAGTGGGTTTCAGAGGTGGGTGGGCAGCTCCAGGAAAATTCTGAAGTTGTGAATTTTACATACAAAAGAGCCTTTTTCTGGGATGGGTCCACAGGTCAAAACCATTTTCATAATAAAATGAGACATCCTTTGACTTTTTTAGTCTCATTCTCTCATGCAGTTTTCCAGAGGCTATGTCACCTATGATGACATCATGGCTCTGCTGGATAATGGAATGTGTGCTTGTGCATTCTTATGTTTTAAAATGTTCTCAGTTTTATTTTCTAATGTGACAAAAATCTCTATATATGGAGCCCATGTATACAAAATTCCTTGGGGTCCTCAATATTTAAGAGTTTAATGGGGTTTGAGATGGCTGCTTTAGGAAAACATTTGGTATCTTGAAGTTCCAAACATCAGCTGCAGAGAGTCACCTCAACCCAGATCACATCCTTCCTGGGGCAGCCCACATCTAGTGACTGATCAAGACCAGACTACAAAGGCAGGGCTTTGGGGGACTGATGTCAGATACTCTGATGGGCAATAATTGCTCCAGAGCACCCCACTGAGTTGGCCAATTCTTTGTTTGGCCTGTACTGCAGTTCAACTTCTCTCTCTGCCTAAACCTTTCTCTCACTTCCATTCATAGGGTTGATTCCGCCCTCAAACACCTTAAGTACCCACAACCCTCATTCCATCCTCCCCTGCCCTCCAAAGGCCCAAAGAGGGAAATACGGTATACATGCACAAGCCTATGTGAGATGGTTCCAGGCTCCTAAACCTCAAGATACTTCCTTTTAAAAGGGCGTTTTTTTCTTTTTTCCATTTTCTAAAACTTATTCACCCTCACTCTTTGTATCACATAATATAGCATTTGATTATATAATGTGCAGCATCTATTTCACGGGAATTAATCCTGACTCTCCAATGAAACTGTAAGTTCTTTGAGCATAGAGAACAAACAGCAATAATAACAGCACCTACAAGTCATCGAGAGCTTACAACGTTCCCAGCTTTGACTGTTTTACATATACATCTCACTTATACTCAAAACTCCAGGAGGTACAAATTATTATCCCTTTTCACAAAGGAGGCAATTGAGGTTCAGGAGGTTTAGTGGTTAACCCAAGCTATTAGGTGGCAGAGTGATGACCTACATCCAGGTCTGTCTGATTCTAAAGCCTGTAAGTCACTTAACAATGTTCTTCTTTTTCTTAAATCCTCTCTAACACTATCACAATGCAGGACACAGAACAGATGTTTGGTTGACTCGAGGAAGGCCTATTGTTTCCTGGTACTTACAGCTCTGCAGCATCTCTGTCAATGTTTCCACAGATGCTTTCTCAGCACTCTCAAACCCTGCCTCTGTCAGCAGGGAGCTCACAACCACTTGCAGGGTTCGCCTTCGGGCCAGATGGTAGTTATCAGCAGGGTTAGTGGACTGTTTACTTCCTGATCTCTGTGAATCAGCAGCCCAGAAAGAGAAAACGTTTTCATCCAGAGGACAAGGATGCAATCACAGAGTTCACATACTGCCAACGGCAAGCAAAGGTTCTTTTGCTAAATACTAAGTAGGAAATTTATTAGTGCTTAATAAGATGTGGTAGTCCCTGATGTTTAGACTTACAGCTCTTGGCCAAATGAGTAATAACTGAGCACCCCGGGGGCTCTAAATTCGGAGACAGCCTTTCTGCCTACCTAATACTTACAATTCCAATAACAAAACGGCTGTTTTGTACTTTCTATTTTAGCAGATTATCAGAATATATAGCTGAAGAAACACGCACGATGGGATTGAACTCATATCCATCTCCCAGAAAAAAAGTGACCTCTCTCTTGTTCCTCCCACCTCCACACCATTTTGCTAACGAGGAAAATTAAAACAACAAACAACACATGATGCTAAGTAGAGGACCTACAAGTAGGAAGTATTTTGAAACGGGAATCCCTCCCAACTTTGGCGAGCCAATAAGAAGGCGAAAGCGGCCTCGTTGCACCAATCAGGAGGTGTTCCGGGCTCCCAACCCCCAACAGAGAACGGGCCAATCAGTATACAAATCCACCAACTCAGGAGGCAACCGCCGAGTCTCGAGAAGGGGGTCACGTACGATCTGAAAGACCCTCCTCCACTCAGAGCTCATGGTGGGGCTGGATTTCTGGGTATAAGATTGTAGCCCAGGCTAGGGGAAAGTTACAGAATGCCCCGACTCTCTCGGCTTCGGCCTCGCGCCTCCCGCCCTTACCGTTCCGGAGCTGCCAGCCCCGGCAGTGGCCGCCGCGTCGGCCATCTTGCTCTGGCGTAATGTGCAGGAGCGCAGGGCAGGATGGGGGTTGTAGTCACCGGGCGGGGAGGAGCGGCTAGGGGGCGGGGCGACACGCGCCCCTCTGGGCTTTCCTAGGCCCAGCGGGGTCGGGAGGGTGTGATGGGTGACCCCGCTCACTTGGCCTTGTGTGAGCGGTGCGTTCAGTAAGCCCCGGAAGTGGCCAGGAAAATGAGCTCTCGGTTTTACACCTATTTTGAAATGAAGTCGCTTTTCGTAAAAAGCACATCCCTGGAACACTCCAAAGGTGCCTGATAGCAACCTCTGCCTGGGTCCCGCTGGGTCCCCATCATTTACTCTCTAGGGGAGGGGTCTGGGATTCTGTATTCTTAAAACCTCCAGGTGATTCTTCTGAGCGGGAAATTTGGGGAAACCTTGTTTTGTGCTGGCGGCCCCGCAGCCCACTTGGAACTAGATCCCAACAGCCACCCAGTCCAGGTGTTCCAACATATCCCGCTGCCTTCTCGCCGTGTATGCCGGCGGCAAGAGGCTGTCCCTTGCCCGCCTTACTCCCAGGCCGTTGCGTCAACGTGGTGCATGTGGTTTTCTGCGGTTCACTCGCGGGTCATCCTCTCCGGATGGGAGTCCTTCGTGCACCACGCCTCATTCGTCTCCGTTTGCGGGTGTCTGGCAGGACGCAGAAGCTGGGTTTGAATCCCAGCACTCGGCAGCTGTGGGATTTCGGGCACATTACCTAATCTCACTGTGCCTCGGTTTCGTCTTTTGCGAAACTGGGATGGGATGGATAGCAGGGGGGAAAATGAGCTAATACACCCAAAGGGTCTATCACCGTGCAGACGGAGAGTAAGAGGTCAAGAAGCAGCGCCTAATGTTATTTATTTCCTGAGCGGCGAGTGGACGAGTGGAAAACGCTCACAGGGAGATGTCTGGAAAACTGCGCCGCGCCTGCCCGCGGGGCGCACCTGCGGCTGGGGGGCACCCCCGCCCCTCACCGGGGGAACGTGCAGCGGGATGTGCGGGTTTGGGTCGCTGCGCAGGCTGAGCCGCCGGGAGGAGTCGGGGCCCAAACCTTAGCTGAGCGGAGCACCCAGCCCCTTTGTCTCCCCCGCCCCCTCTTCCCCACTTCCTGCCCAGCTTTAAACTCGGGATTGGCGGCGCGGCGGCGACTTTGTAAACACGCCGCGCCTGCGGCGGTGGAAACTGGTTCTGTTTGGGAGCCTGGGGGAGGGCTGCACGCCCCTCGCCGTGGCTGGAGGTGGCGACCCTCTCCCCATCTCCCCAAAGACAGAAGCGAGAGGCGGCGGGAGAGAGTGTGTGCAGCCACAGTCGATGCTCCGGGGGGCTCACCTGCCGAGGAGGTAGGCTCGAGGGCTGGAGAAGCCAAGACAGATGGGTGTCAGCGTCTGCCCTCTTCGCTGGGGCCTCCAAGCTGAGGCTGGACACCTGGGCGGGGGGTCTGAGGTGGGGGGGTTAAGGAGGTCATGGTGTCTTCATCACCTCCCAGTGGTCTCTCAAAGCTCGGGTCAGTTTCTTTCTGAGTTGCACGTGGCTGAAGGGCGGAGAAGCCCCCCAAAGCCCTGAGCTTTCTCTGTGTCTGCACAGCCACCCTCCAAGCTGATCTGGAAGTCCAGTGACCTCACTGGGCTGTCTGTTGTCGTTCTTCATACCTCAGAGATGGGGTGGGAGGCGGAAGGAGGGCAGAAGCCGTGTGGGCAGGGAGCCTTGGGGTCATCCTGCCAGCCAGGGCCGAGGGAGGAGGCCAGAGGACAGGACTGGAAAGAGGGACCTCTCAGTGGCGGTCCCTCTGGTGTTTGATGGGTACACACGTGACGGCCTTACCCTCTTCTGTGTCTTTTAATGTGTCAACAAGAGGAATAACTGAAGAAATTGGTTGCTGTTACTGAGGGAGCCTTAATGTGTTCATTTGCAAACATTGATTGAGCGCCTACTGTGTGTGGGATTGGATGGGATGCTGAGCGTGCAGTGATGTTATTCATCCACAGTGATCTCGCCTGAGTCATAGAACAACAGAGACGAAGTGTCAAGTTGGGGTGGCTGGGAAGGCTTCAGATAGGACATTTGAGTTGGTTCTGAATGATGAATAATCACCAGGCAGAGAAGTGGGGGGAAGTCTTTGTGGGAACTTACTCATTCTGTGGAGCTGGACTGAACCCTGACTGTGGTGTTGGGCGCTGGGAAACAATAGGGACCCAGAAACAGCTCTTGCTCTCTTTAACCCACTGTCTAGACCTGAAGAAGAGATAGGAATGAACTGGATGAATTCAGGGAAAGGCATGTTTCTGGGCTGGTCCCCAAGACCCCAGAAATTCCCAGCTAGGTGCCGCTGGGAGAGTCTACCCCAGGGTGATGTAACAGTCATACAATCCTGGGGCACCCACCCCCCCCCATCCCTGGTTGCTAGGACTGTTTCTTCTAACAAATCCTTGCTCTCTGTCCCTCCCCGCCCACCTCAATTCTCTTTGGAACTAGACATGGGTGAAAAGAACTGGATCTACCATTGCTTTCCTAAAGATTCTTCTGCTCTTTCAATTCCCAGGCTCATTTGAGAGATGGCTGACACGGTGAATTCTTTCACCACCTGTTTGGTGTGGCTGCACTATCTGCACAGGCTAAATATTGGGGATATAATGGTAAACAAGTCAGAGCTTCTACTCCCTTGGAATTTAGGAGCAAAAGCATATCTGAGAATTCCAGCAGGATCCGTCCTTGACCATCCATGGTCATCCGACCATGACCTCCATGATCCCAAGTGTCTTTTCTTTCCCATTTCCTTCCTTCAAGGGTTCAGAATACTAGCTAAGGCTTATATAGCACTGTCAGGTACTCTTCTAAATGTTTTAGGTGTAATGTCTCATTTAATCCTCCTAACAGTTCTATGAGATAAGCACTAGGCTTATCTCCATCTTATAGATGAGGAAACTCAGGCATGGAGGAGATAATTTTCCTAAAGAGGACAGGGTTGGGATTTAAACCCGGGTCACTTGACTTGGGAGACCCTGTTCTTAACCATTTGGCTAGCCTGCCTCCTTGACCTACCACATGGAATGTGCCCTTGAGCCAGGGGCTTAGGAATTTCCAAAAAGGAGGCTATGGTCCTGTGTCTCGGGAGATACAGAGGAGAGCAATCTGTTAGCTGAGTGTGGGCGCTGGTGCTGTTTACAGGGAGCCCCAGCAGGCCTGGAGTTGTGGAGACTACACAGAGCTGGTATCCTTTCCTAATGGCCGTGTGTGTGTGTGTGTGTGTGTGTGTGTGTGTGTGTGTGTGTGTGTGTGTGTGTGTGTTTTCTCCTGAGTAAGCCTCAGTCACCAAGAGGAACAAACCAAGGTTTGATGCAAGAAAGATGCATGAAGGTGATGTGCCAGAATCTGGGGAGATGGGAAACCAAGATACCTCTTTTGCTGGGAATCTTTAAGAGCAGAGACCCTCATATTCTAGATTCCAAGGGGAACAATCCAGCTTTGTAGCTGAGTAAGATGATCTGAGTAAGATGATCAGGGAGTAGAAGCAAGCTCAAGATGCGCACCTTACTTCCTCACAGCTGTTGCATCCCAAAGCTGCATCCCAAAGCTGCATCCGCGCATCTGACCCCATCCCTCTAGGCAGACTGGGACTTGCCCATGATGCCAGCCGGGCCACAGGGCAGAGGTTCCATGGATTCCAGCCATTTTTTCCACTACTTTTCTGAAACTCTAGATTTCTCACATGAGCCCTCTAAACAGATCTGGGGAGGCCCAGAGGCTGTGCCTCTCTGCCTGCAGTCAAACTACCTCTAGCCTCTGCCTTTGAGGGAGCGGTGTGGGTTGGGGGGATGGGTGTTGATGCTGGGAGTTGAGGGTAGAGGGCAGCCACACCGAGATCACTGGTAAGCAGGATGTGAAGGTCAGAACTATGTGGACCTCTAGGCCACTCTTCTAGACAGACACCCTCCTTCCTTCTCATCATAGGGTGCGATGGAAGCCTCGGCAAGCCCCAGCCCCCTGCCCCAGGCGCTGTTCTCTAGGTTGAGAACAGGTTGTACTCTTGAGAAACCACAAGAGGAAGTTTAGGGAGGGCTGGGGGTGGGGAAAGTTCTGGGGCCCCTGCCAAGTTTCCCTTTCTCTGCCTTGCCGGAGGTGTGTTTATTTTGGTGTGTTTCTCTTGCCCTCAAAGACATTTAAATTTTAAACCCTCTGAGTGTCAAAGAACTGTCGAGGCCCGCCCGTGTTTATGCGTGTGTGTGTGTGTGTGTGTGTGTGTGTGTGTGTGTTTATGTGTGTGGGTCGGTGGGGGTGTGGAGGTGGTCAGACACCCCTGGAAATGGGATTGCAACAAGGTACTCATTTGTTGGATTTCACCTGGGATTTGTGCTAGATGGGAAAGGCTAACTCCACAAAGTCTTCTTTTCTCCTCTCTGCCCTTTCACCTTACTCTTCCCCAAAGCGCTCCCTACAGCCCCAAACACGAGAAAAATGTGGTTATAATGGCCACTTAGGAGCTGAATGATGTTGCCAGGAGCTGTCCTAAGTGTTCTACCTGCCTTATCTCATTTGATATTCACCGTAACTCCAGGTAGTAAATGCCTCTATTTCCAATTTATAGATGAGGAAACTGAAGCTCAGAAAGGCTTAGAAGCTTGCCTGAGGTTACACAGCTAGTAAGTGGCAGAGCCCAGATTTGAACACTGGTCTATCTGACTTCAGAGGCTGTGCTCTTGACGTCTATTTAATCCTCAAATTAGAGCATCAACTTCCCCAACATATCAGACCCTGCACAATAGGAGGTTGAGATCCAAAGATGTTTTAAAATGGTGCTACTAGTGTGTGTGTGGGGGGGTGGTTTGGGTATAGATTGGAAGAGAGATTCTCTGGAAGTTAATATATTAAAAAAAAGATACCCAAGGGAAAGGAAGATGTAGTGGGTGAAAGGTTAAGGCCAAACTGGAATTTTGAAGCAAATGGGGAGAAGATTTGGGAGGGATACTGTAGCTGTGTTCAGACATTTGAAA